TTACATCTTCAGAAGTTCAATATCTTGTATCATCAATGAGTCAGCTGTGCTGCAAAGCCATTTTCTGATGTCTTGGGTTCCTCAGGAGGTCGGTTTTCTATGGACTTGATGAATGTGACTTTAATGCTACCTGTCAACTTCTACACATTTTTAACTCAGCCTGTGGAGCTAAAAGTAATTTACCCCAAATTTTACATAAATCATAGTTAATGGTTTCTTGCTGGGTGAAATACTACTTTAATAAACTGTGTTAAAATTAGAACATCCCTAGGACAGCCAGGATTCATTGAAAGGTTTCTGTTACTTCTCAGTTCACCAGCTTTTTCTAGGGCATTACTAAATATATTCAGTGCCTTCAGATTTCTAAGTATCCTTTGGACATATTAGATAATGTTGTTCTTGCAGTCATCTGACCAATTTCTACTAACCTTAAGCCTTTACTGTATAGTTAATTTTTGTAGCTGCTTTTTGATTGAAGTTTTTTTAAAGTACCAAGAGAAGATACCAGTTGCTTGATTCTAATCTTACTTCATAGGTCTGAAGGATTAAAGTAGACAACTTTTACAGAGAGAGGAAATTGTTATGTTGCCTGCAGCAAGCTATTTACTGTGACTTTTTTTTCCACCCCTTATGTACAGGCGGGAGGGGTTTAGATTTTTTGTTTTTTTCAGATCAAACCAGTTACTGAAAATCAGCTTTGGTTTGTGGTGCTACACCGGATGAGAGGAACTCGCTCATAACAGTACACACTCTGTTGATCCCAATGTTTTGTTTCTGTGGCAGATTTGACAAAGTTGGTTCTGTTCCTCTTCTATTTAAACATAAAGTCTTAAAATTTGAAGTGGTACAGCGAGCAGAATGATAGTAGACCTCCTTCTCTCTGTTACCTAGAGTCATGGGAAGCCAATATCTTCCTCAGAAACTCAATGGAAAAAAGACTGTGTTTCTTGCTTCAGAAATCATATAGAGTTCCATAGTGATCTAGTAACACGGTTCAACCAGGTGAAACAGGAAAAAACTAGTTATCTTTCCATTCTATTTCTGCTGTTTTATTATTGATACAGTTGCCAGTACTTGGTAGGCCATACTTCCCTTTTTCAGAGCCAGTTGTTTTAAACCATATGTCTTTTAAGGAGTTCTAGTTTGTAACAAGGAGATAACCAAAACATGTGGCACATATGATTTGATAGTCTGTTATGATAAGAGCATACATGTAGGATCAAATCGCTGAAAGAATTTTATTTAAAAAGCAGGGGAGGTATATGGTGGAGCCAGCTGGAAGAGTTTGTATATCCAGTAGATGTGCAGAACAGCTGAGAATCCTGTGTCCAAATGCGATCCATGCTTCTGTTATTACTCTGTTAAATCCAGAGTTTGGAATTTCTGTTGATGACCTTGACAAGGCATCTGGTATTCTCTCCAAACCTTTGCAGAGCGCTGCCCTAAGTTTCATGTGGTCTGTGGCCTTCCTTATACAAACCATAAACTTGTGCTTTCAGAGGAGTGTTTTTCCCCTTCTCTACCGTTTTTTGGTTGCTTTTCTCTCTAGTTTAACTTCTTGGCCATCTTCTCTGCAAGCATGGTGGAGCAGTCCATTCAGACTCCAAGTCTGCGTTGTCACAAACAAACCTTTAGAAAATAGGTATTTCAGGCAAGGAAAAAAATACATCTTCTTTGTAGATTTTTGGTTGTTTTAGAGAGAAGAGAACTTTAAAAGCACTGTTGTAATCCTGACAAAACACAATGGCTGTAACTTACTACTCTACATATGCTTCTTACTGCTGTGCTGTTATTATGCAGTATTTTACACTTTCCACTAAACGCTTAGTCTGTACTCTGTAAATTAAAGTTGAACCATCTATCTGACTGCATAGTAATATTTAGTGCATATGTGTGTGTGTGTGTATATATATATGTACCCAAGGGAGCTATGTCAGGCTGCTTGTGGTATTGATAACTTAATATTTCTGGATTCTTGCATTTAAAATGTAAAATATTTTATAGTATTAATCTACCTTATAGAATTGAATATTAAAACTGAATTGAAATTCATACTATCAGATATAATAATTCAAACCTTAAATTGTATGTTTTGGGAAAGGAAGGGTAGTTTATAAATTTTAAACTAAATCCAGGAAAAACAGTTTTGCTAAGAATATCTTGTGGTATTAGCAAACCAAGTACGTATTGCCTCAAGAACAGTGTAAAAGAAAGCTTTGGTGAACTCACCCATGTCCTTTATTTCCATTCTTCTTGCCCTTCCTTTTTATTTTTCTCTGTTCTGCTTTATTAATTTCTTGTACTGAGTACTGGGTATTAACACTCAGTCTGTTCCCTAGAAAAGGAACATCAGTCAGGAGTTCAAACTGCTCCCAGTTTGACCCAGTTTTTAAGGAGTGATGAACTCATTCTAGAGAATGAACACCAGGGTGAAAAACAAATGGCAAGCTGGGGGGGAGCTGCTTGCTTGTGGAGGAAGCAAGGAAGAGGAAAGAATGTGTGTGTATCGTTAAGTTGGTGACATTGTTAGTTCTGAGCAGTTATATGAAAAGCTCACAGGGAATTTTTAAATGGTTTTCTCTAATCAAAGATTTCTAATTATGCAACATCATTATGCAATCAAAGATTGCTAATTACTACATATTTAGAATTACATGATTCTACCCTAACTTTATGGGAAGTACCTTTCTGCTTTACATAAAAATTGTATCATAAATATGATAGCCTAATAAGTTCTCAAAGTTCAAGCAATCAAGCATTCTAGGTTATAGTACTGAGAGACGCGGTAGTTCTTTAGATACAGAGATAACTTGCCAGCCTCCAAAGCCGTGCTGTCTCCTCCTAGATTTTGCCTGGCAATAAATATTAGAAAATGTCTCCAACACCAGAATATTCAGAATAATATTAACATTCAATTTAATAATAAAATTAAAAGTTAATAGTATTAAAATATTAAATTGCAGACTTTATCTGGGTAACAACTTTATCAGTGATGATTATACCAGCTCCTGGCAAGTTCATTAGAACTTGCACTAGACACACATGGGTGTGTCTGTGGTACATTTCTCCCCGAGTCTCTGTTGACTGAATGCGAAGCACACCAGAAAGAATAGTCAAAGCCCTGTGGCTCAGTGGGGCATGTCCTGGTTTGATGTACCGTGGGATCCTAGAACAGTACCATTTTGGAGGGTTGTGGTTGCCCCAAGGCTTTTTAAAAAATTTTAATAAAAATGCTGAGTTTTTTTGTCATTTGGCTCTTCTTCTAATTTTATGCATGAAGATCTAAATTCTTGTAAATTCCTACTAATGAGTATGATCACGTTGTGTTTTGCAGGGCTGGCTGCCCAAATAGGCCAACTTCTAATTTTAAATTTTTTTTAAGTTACAGGCTACCGTATAAAACTAAAAGGTCTTCCTCTTACATCAGGTAGTATGAAATGGTTCGAAAGTGCTGAAAATACCCAACAGACAAACAAGAGTGTATTTGTGGAACAACTGAGTTTAGAAGGAGCAGGGAACTGGCACAGAAATGCGAAGTGTTGGCATCCTCAGTGGAAAATTGGCTCTGGACAAAGCAGGTAGACAAAGCAGATGTGGCTGTTGTGTATTGTGAAGTTACTGTGGGTTTTGGGGAAACACCACAGTCTCATCCGCATCAACTCATAAGTCACATTGCAGCCGTGGAAGTAGAATGGAGAGATCTGCTGCTAGAGGTGCCTACATGTGAAATACCTTCTCACCACTCACCTGTTAAGAGTTTCTTTCTGTGACTCTTGAAATGAAAGGTAGTCTTCCAGGTGGAGATCCTCTTACGTTGGTCTGTGCTAAATAAAGCAGCACTCAGAGCATTTTTCCTTTCGCTGACTGCAGGAGAGGTAACAAATTCAAAGCAACACTCTCAAAAGAATTAAAAAAATAATGTAGAAATTGGGTGGGGGAATGATGCTCTTTGTTGAGATTGATTTCCCTGCCTGCAGAATATCAGCATGGGGAGACAGGTAGGAAAAGTCACAAAGCATAATGCAAACAGTAGTATTTTCTACTACCTAATCTTGTGAAATTAGACCCAATTCATGAGTGGAAATTATTTTCCATGGCAGAATGCAAGTGTGGTTAAGTGTGGCCTATTATTCAGCTTGTGGTAGTTAATGTTACAGCTGTTGATTTGAGGATAGAGTACCCACGATTTTTGTCACGTTAACTCACAAGAATGTGAACCATTTGACACAGTCACATAGATTTTTCTATTGTATCAGCAAATCATAGCACCTTTGAAGTATAATAAAATTTATTGCATATGTGCTCTTTTAAATAGTTACCTTTTTTAGCCCTTGTATATCAGATTGACCTTGCAAGTTTTCATCCAGTATTTTATATACAGCATGCTGCTATGTGTGTGTAAATATGTGTGTATGTCTATTTCTAATTTGTTATTGTTCTATGATTAAACCTAATGCATATTGTAAATAAAACTTTTTTTTAATTTCAAGATTTAACTGTAAATATATGTAGAAAGGTACTATTTGTAAGGAGTAGCTTGTTACTCTGGCTGAGTGATTTCTAAGCCATTCCTGCTT